ACCCCAACCCCACGCCTACCAAAGCGCCCCGAGAAGGGGGTGGGGAGGGAAGGGACCGTAGCGCAGGCTCCTCCTCCCTCCCGACTCGTCGGCACCCTCCTACATGAGGTGGGGGTGAAGGAGCCAGGGAAGAAATGAGAGTTCCTCAGCAGTGGAGTTTCGAGACAACCGGCAGCCGCTCAAGTCTGTTTGCCCTCCTCCCCGCGCTGCGCCAATCCTCAGGCCCGGGGGCCGGGGAGGTCGAGGAAGTAGGAAGCCGACGGCCCGGGGCTGCGCGGCCGACTCCGGCTCTGGAGCCGTGAGGACTGCGCGGGCCTTAACCCTACCCGGTAGCCCGGCTCGGGGTGGCTTCCTGTCGCTCAGGTTCCGCGGCCTAGGTGCCTCACACCCCCTTTGTCCTTCGCTCCTGAGGGAGCTCCTTTTCTTGCCTCCGCCTCACCTCAATGCCCCCCACACTCACCCGCTCCCTCACACAGACTCAGTCCCACACTAGGTTAAACCGAAACGGCACTTGGAAGAGGGGGAGGGGCAATCCCAGGAAATATCGCGAGAATACTAAGCTCGCGGTATTTCGTGCTCCCTTTTACTTCTCTCTACTGCTTGATGAAACAACGCGAGAACAGGGCCGGAGGACGAAACGCGATTTTCCATTTTCTCGCGATAAGCTCCTCGCTCTGCGTTTGATCAGCTTTGTGGAAACGGAGCTAGGAGAATTTTTTTTATTCAAAACTTTATTGATAACTCTTTGAACAAATACTCTCAGGCTCCAACGCAAACTAATTTTTTCAACTACTAGGATTGTTGGATAGGACAAGGACCTCAAGGTCTGAGTGGTTGTTACTAAAGGCTTTTCTTGCTGTTAAAATGTAGGACAGTATTTTGCAAACGAGCTGTAAACAGGATGAGCTTGACAGGAACTCAACCAGCCAACTGCAAGAAGAAATCAACAGTGTAATTGACAAAATAGTGAGTATAAGCAATGGCTAAGCCTTCCCTGGGAGAGGCAAGAGCCTGGGATATGAATCTCCTGTCTCCTGTACTTGTTGCAACTAAATAAAACCACCCCTTCTTGAATAGAGCACTTCAAGCAGCAAACCCCTTGAGTTCTGTAGGGATAAAAATATTGTCAACAGGGCACGGCAAATGTGGGGATATTTCAACCCAAGTCCCTAAATATTAACAATGCTTGCAACTTATATTAAGTGCATTATCTTTAATTCTCATACTACCCTGCAAAATGTGATATCCTCATCCCTATTTTACAGATAAGGAAGCCCAGACTCAGAGAAGTTAAATAACTTACTCAGAGTAACAAAGCTAGTCCAGAAAGTGCTAAGGATGAGATTCAAATTCATGTCTGACACTAAAGCACAAGCACTTTCATTGTGTGGCACTCTCCCCAGTCTACTTCAAACCTAAGAACCTGAAAGCTTATCACTTCTTGGGATCATCTATGGCTCTTCTGAAGTTATTTAGCCTTTTACCTTCACACAGAAGATTATAATTATGAACAAGAAAAGCATGATATTTATGCACAAGAAAAAAACAGTAGCTTACACTGCCTCTCATTTTTTACTTTTTTTTTTTAATCCTCACCTGAGGATATTTTTTCCATTGCTTTTCAGAGAGAGTGGAAGAGACAGAGAGGGAGGGAGAGAGAGAGAGAAACATCGATGTGAGAGAGACACATCAATTGGTTGTCTCCTACACTTGCCCTGACCCGGGCTGGGGATTGAGCCTGCAACCAAGGTATGTGCCCTTGGTCAGAATCAAACCCAGAACCCTTCAGTTCTCAGGCTGACGCTCTAACCACTGAGCAAACCAGGTAGGGCTCATTTTTTACTTTGTAAAAAAAAATACGCCTAATAAGATTTCAGGGAGAGGAAGGGAGAGGAAGAGAGAAAGAGAGAAACATTAATGATGAGAGAGTCATTGATCGGCTGTCTCCTTCATGTCCCCCACAGGGGATCGAGCCCTGAAAACCGGGCATGTGCCCTATCCAGGAATTGGACCACTATCTCCTGGATCATAGGTGGATGCTCAACCACTGAGCCATGACAGGCGGGCTCATTTTTCACTTTTTGAAACTCCACACATTCATTCATTCATTCCATCTTCATAACAACCCTCTGAAATAGGGTTGTGTATGATAGGTAACTAAGGCACAGGGAAGTTGTGACTTTTCCAAACTTATTAATTCTTTTCCTCAATGAATTTATCTGTGAAGTGTTAAGGCCTTTCTCTGTGTGATAGTGCCCACTCAGGGCCCTTAAAAAGGATGTAGACAATATATTTATACAATAAGATATAAGGTGGTAAATGTCATAAGGATGATACAGAGTACTGCCTAGGTTCAAAAGGAGGTTGGGAGTGTTAAGAGAAAACTTTATAAAGGGCATTTAAGTTGGCCCAAGAAGAGTAGATATAATTTGTTTATGCAAGGATGGGCAGATCAACCAGTAAATTAGGAGCAAGAAAACATTCTAAATGAAGCTAGAAAGACCCATTCTCAAAATCACTCCCTGAAAATAGTCTTATTGCTTTTGGTCACATGGATACTAAAAAATGTTTTTACTTAAATGTTTGAGTTCATGAATCTTGATTACAAATGAAAAAGACCTAGATTTTCATGACAACTTTTTAACCATCTATGGAAGTAGTCAAATTAATGCTTTCAAGGAAAAATAAAGGAAAAAGAAAAAGATAGAATTAAGTACTGGAACTCAGGTGTGGTAACTTCCCATCATTACTGCAAGAGGGCCTGGATATAAAGGCTCCCACCAATGTCTGACATGATGGAAGATGGCATGAGACTTAATGGGCCAATTAGATGAAGTGACTGACCCACACCCACACACCCACAGTAAAATGAAAAAGTGGGGGTGGCAGAAGGAATTATGGCAATGTGTCAAATAAATTCTTGAAAATAATATTCATCATTCAAATTAAACAGCATTAATTATATTTATAATTATTAATTATCTGGTTGTTACCTATTGAAGCAGAATAGAGATCCCCTAATGAATGAAGTTTTTTACTGAATTTTTATATCCTATATTTAAATTTTTTTTAAATTTATTGAGAGAGAGAAACATCAATTTGTTGTTCCACTTATTTATGCATTCATTGATTGACTCCTGTATGTGCCCTGACCAGGGATCGAACCCAAAACTTTGGTATATGGGGATGACGTTCCAACTGAGCTACCAGTCAGGGCCTTTTATATTTTTATAGCACTTTTCAATTTTCTACAGAAGTCTTTTTAGCCTGTCAACAAATATCAGCTGAACAAATAAATAACCTGGTGTGGTGGCCAGGTTGGATATTATTATATGTATCTACCGATGAAACTGACACACAGGAGTTGGAGCATGTTTACACTAAGTGTAGTTAGTATCAGGAGCAGGGACACTCTTTCTTTAATCCTAGGCCAGCACTCTTTCTTTTCTTCTTCTTCTTTTTTTCATCCTTACCCAAGGATATTTTTCCATTGCATATTAGAGAGTGGAAGGGTGGGAGGAAGTGACAGAGAAAGAGGAAGAAAAGAAAGAAAGAAAGAAAGAAAGAAAGAAAGAAAGAAAGAAAGAAAGAAAGAAAGAGTGTCCCTGCAGCCTAGCCCAGTCAACAAAATGGAACTTTATCCCAAGGACAATTAGAAGTCAGGGAAGAGTTTTATACAGCTGAGTTATGGGATCAGATTTACCTTTGAGAAAGGTCAGAGCTGCAGGGTGAGTAGTAAATTGAATGGAGAAAGACTGGAAGCAAGAAAATCACTCAAGGCACATTTGTTTACTCATACATTTTGCAAAGACCAGAAAGTCTGAAAATGTACGACAATGGTAAGAGCAGAGAGTCAGAGAATATAAATCAGCATGCTCTTGTCAACATAAGAAACATTCAAACTTATAAAGAATTTTTGTAAGTTTATTTGAGCCAAACTGTCAACAATTTCCAGGAAGCAAAATCTTAATGGATTGAAGTAATGCTCCAGAGAATGGCAATTTTTCACCTTATTTTATACATTACAATCAAAAGAGGACACATAGATGGGTTACATGAAATCCACTGGTGATAGATTAGGGAGGCAGGAGAAAGCAAAGCAGGGGGTGAAACCTCTGGGAT